TATAACATGATGTGAGCCTCAGTCAGTTCTGCCTTCATATAAGAATATTTTAATCTGCTCATATCCAAAATATAAGTGCAATAATGATTTTTTTAAATATTTATTCATCTTTCAGAGGAGACAGAGAGAGAGAATGAGCGGAGGAGGAGCAGAGAGAAAGGGAGACACAGAATCTGAAGCGGGTTGATTTTTTAAAGTTCATTCATGCCAGTCTTATGTGAGTTCAGGTGGCATTATTATTTTGAATGAAGAGTCATGCTGCTTTTCATGGTACAAGTTCCTCAAACGAAGTCTTATCTTTTGTGATGCCAGACCAGTCTTTCAGGAAGTGTCTTGCTAGATTTGTAGTTTCCTGCCTCTCTCTTCCTTTATGGGGCAGGAAAGTATAGAATGCCTGGTGTATGTCTCCCAGCCCCACCCCAGATATATTGAAAAGGAGAGGAAATGTTAGCCAAAACACATTTTGCAGTTTGCAATCCAATAAAAAGAGCCATAGACCGAGGATATGATTCATTCTGGATAATCATAAAAACAAAAACTCACTTTGTAAGCTTGAGTGCCGCCCTCAGGACAATTCCCAGGACCTCCGTGGACAGGAGAGAAGAGCAGGAAGGCACTTTTCTTTCCAGGAATTCATTCGTCGTGCTTGTATTGATATGTTAGAATTCCAGCATATGGCATCCGTTTTGATTTTCTTTTATTCTCCCCATTGTTACTTGCTCTCGGGAACATCCTCACAGTCAACAGGAGTGGTATTTATAAAATTTATTATTTCTCAAGTTATCTCAGTAGAGGCAGCGTGGTTGTTCCCATTCTAAAGGCACTAGGAAAGTTTCAAGGACTGAGAACTCTAGACTAGGAAGATCAGATCTTCACTGGTCTAGACCTACGAGCTTGTGTTCTTTTTTTATTAGAGTTCTGGTGAATGCTTACATCTTCAGCCAAATTATTCAAGAAAAGTAAACCTAACAGTGTAACTAATTTTTTAATAAAATAATCCCTAAATGTCTAATACTATTCTGACCAAGAGAGTTTATTTTAAAAATAATCCTTTCCTGAGGCACCTGGGTGGCTCAGCCAGTTTAGTGTCAGATTCTTGATTTCAGCTCAGGTCATGATCTCATGGTTCATGACATCAAGCCCTGTAGGGGGCTCTGTAGAGGATCCTGCTTGGGATTTTCTCTCTCTCTCTCTCTCTCTCTCTCTCTCTCTCTCTCCCTGTCTCTCTCTCTCTCTCCCTCTCCCTCATTCATGCGCTCTCTCTCTCTCAAAATAAATAAACTTTAAAATCTTTAAATTAAGAAATTTTTAAAAATAAAAATAATCCTTTCCAATTTTTCTTGCTTTGATTGGGGTAGGAGAACACATAATGAAAAAACCATGCATCACTTTGCCTTTTCCTTTTGTCTATAAGTGTGGGCATTTCTAACGTGTTTGACCTGGACTTTCCTTTATTGGGGCATTAAAACTGAAGGTAGTGGGGCACCTGGGTGGCTCAGTTAGTTAAGCACACAACTCTTGGTTTTGGCTTAGGTCATGACTTCACAGTTTCATGAGTTCAAGCCCTGCGTCAGGCCCCATGCTAACAGTCGAGAGCCTGCTTGAGATTCTCTGTCTCACTTTCTGTCCCTCCCCCACTCACACTGTCTGTGTCTCTCTCAAAATTAATAAATAAACTTTTAAAAAGTAAATAAATAAAATTGAAGGTAGCAAGTAAGAAATGACGAACAGAAGTCTGTTTCCAACAAAGGGATGATACCTGTGTATTAAGACCAGGGTGTGTGCCTTCTTGCCAATATCTCTTCTCTTGCCAGCTTGGTTAAGACTTCGGATGCTGAGATATTTCCCAGGGGACAAGGAGATTGAGGGGGTGATTTAACAACTCCTGAATAAGGCCTGAGCTCTTTACCTCTTGCTCTGTTGATTCCTTCAGTAGGAGACTATGGACCCATTCAGAATAACTTTTCCCCTAGCAAACCTGATAGAACGGTGGATCTGTTACCTACATCCTGATGTTGACTTTTCCAAGGCCACACTTGAGAAGCTGTGAGAGCAAGAATAGATCACAAAACTTTGATGCACTTTATTACTCCTTTCATGTACTTGTTTGCAATTGCTCGTTGCTTCCTTCCACGAACACTTACTGGAAACATTATGCTGGTGACAGACACAGTGATAATAACCTATTTCCTATTTGTTTGAAATTGTATAATGCCATTAATCTTGATAGGAGAAAATATGATATAAGTTGTATTTTGCTGAAATGATTAAGGTATTGATGGTGCCCATAGACCTTTGAGATTTTTAGTTAAAATGAATTAAAATTGCTAAATTCTATTGATTAAAGGAATTCAGTGTCACACTTAATAGTATGACAGAATTGAATATTGTAGTTTGTATGCAAAAAAAAGAAAAAGCTAATTGTTTTTTCCTTCTTTATTATTGGTATCATCTTCCACTTTTATGGTGCCTCTACTGGGAGCCACATATCTGATCCAGTTTACCTTAAGTATCAACTGAATGGCCTCAATGAAAAGCTAACACCTATCTGAGAGGAAATACTACACTTCTAGGAAGGCACTATCCTGGAGTTTTCAGAGTTTGTATAGGTGTCAAAAATATATTTATGCTATTGAATTTAAGCACTTTTATTACTTGGATTTCCTGTCATGAAAGGAATATACAGAGGTGCCTCAGTTGGTTAAGCATCAACTTTTTTGATTTTGGGTCAGGCCATGATCTCACAGTTCATGAGATCAAGCCCTAAGTTGGTTTCTGTGCTTCCAGTGAGGAGCCTACTTGTGATTCTCTCTCTCTCATTCTCTCTCTCTCTCTCTCTCTTTCTCTCTCTCTCTCTCCCCCTCCCCTGCCTCCTCCACTTGTGCACATGCACATGCTCTCTCTCTCAAAATAAGCATTAAAAAAAAAAAGGAATATACAGTTCCTTTTCTGATGTGCCAAGGAAAACATACTCTAATGTAGCATTTGCCCTTTAGCTGCCAAATCTTCACTCTTAACACAAAAGTTCATGAGTGCAGGACTCAATATCCTCTACTAGCCATGTCTCCAGAATCTACACCTGGCGAAGAGTAGGAACTCTTTGATTTTTCACTGTACATTGATTCTCATGGATTATACTATGACATGCATTTGTATGGTATCCTGTGGCTTTCAAAACATTTTTACTTAGGTTAATTTCATTGACTATTGCAGCAACAATTTTGAGAAAGAATAGGACAGACCTTTTATCTTGTGATACCCAATTGAAGTGGTTTGTGGCAGACCTAGGATTGGACGGGGCTCAGGTCACAACAGTCCATTGTTTTTTTTTTATATTAATCATCATCATTCAGCAAATGCTTATTATTACAGGCCAGTCACTATATTAAATATTTTAGCTGAATTATTCAACCTTTGCCACAGCCCCTTGACATAGAATGGTTTTCCTTCCATTTTAGAGGTGAAGAACTAAAGCACAATGGTAACGTATGCAAGGTCAGCCCTGGGGATTAGGCTCAAGCAGTGTGAGTTCCTAGCCTGAGCTCGGTATGGTCTAACCACTGCTCCACAGTCTTTCAGGATGTCCCTCTAAAAAGTTTGCTAGTGTACATACCTGAGCCAAATAACTACCGTGGTGATTTCCTAGTGATTTTATTAAGTGATTTGCTATCATTATAATAGATTCTTGTTGAGTGTCTCAACAAATCGATAAGCCAGAGATAACTGTTGTTATTGGTTATGGGTAAAGAGAAGAGATAGAGAAAAGGAAAAAAAGGAGATGTTGATATGTGATAGTCAGAATGTGGGAGTCAGATGGGTTGCCAGCATTACAAGGAAGTCAGAGTTGTCATTTTTCTGTTAGAGAATAAGGTACCTCCCAGGTGATGGAGAATGAGTCTGAGAAAAAAAAAGTATTCAAGGCAGCTGCATATTTGTTGAATAAAGACATACTACAGTCTTGTTAAAGGGGGAGAACCAACCAGTGCCAACCAAATGGGATGGTCATGGCAGAGGAAAACCTCATTGGAACTCAGCAGCGTGCTTTTTAATGAATGTTCTAACCTGCCTATTCCTGTATAAATGGGAGTTCTGTTGGCAGCTTGAGCTTCACACGCTCCTCAACCATGTGTGAAATGCACCCCATCCTGACTCAGGTATCCACAGCAGCAAGAATGCACTAAAGGAGCCCTTGCTCCAAGAGAGCCAAAGCCTGGAGAGAGTTCCGCTGCCACTAAGCTGAAGTAGCTGAGAGAACAAGGACTGTGCATGTGGGGCGAATACATTAAAATCAAAATTGTTCTGGGGCGCCTGGGTGGCTTAGTCGGCTAAGCGTCCGACTTTCGCTTAGGTCATGATCTCGCGGTTCGTGGGTTCGAGCCCCGTGTCGGGCTCTGTGCTGACTGCCGGCTCAGAGCCTGGAGCCTGTTTCAGTCTGTGCCTCCCTCTCTCTCTGACCCTCCCCTGCTCATGCTGTCTCTCTCTCTCTCTCCTAGAAATAAAAAAACAAAAAAAATTAAAAAAAAAATAAAATCAAAATTGTTCTAAATGGAGTTTCACTTACATATCCAAAGCAGTGCACTAATAAAGCAGAGGAGGTAGAGTAGAATCATTAACATTAGTTATAGCCTGCAAAACCAAAGACTAGATTCCATGTTGATAAAATAACAGGAAGACCACTGATCCTGGGATCTCCCTCTTGGTGAATAACAAACATGCCGAGGTGGCCTTCTGCAAATCATCACCTCAGTCGTCACCACCTCATTGGTTGTGTTCTATAGGTTGAATTGCAAATCCCATCTAATCATACCTGAGATATACAGGTAAATTTATTAAATACTTCCTAAATATTTTTCAAGTACACAGATTGAACTATGCATCCAGCATGTAAGGTACAGTTATTGAACATTAACTCTGCACCCGCCGCCATTTTGGTACTTCTAGGGGTTGTTCCTGCTTATACACAAAGTCGCCTTTCCTCACTCAACTTTCCTTTTCCATAGAGCAAATTGGCCAGGAGATGTTGGAAAACCTCAGTCACGACAGAGAAAAGATACAGCGAGCACGTGAACGAGTAAGTAGAAGTGATACTGTTTTTTCAGAAGTTCAGTAAATAATGAGACCTAACACAAAAGGCACATGCATAGACAGTAACAATGACATAGATGTAAGTGTGTATAAAAATGGCAAGGGTATATAAAAAAAAAAGGAGGAATGTTGAGTAAAAGGAGAAGAAAAAAAGAGTGTGCAATGGAGAAAGAATACGCTGACTCTTTCTTTCCCCATCCCAGCATGCCCCCATGTAGATATTTTATTTAGCTCTATAACTGAGAAGGTCATGAGGGAGATTTTGGAGTATGCCAGTAAAAGCTGTAAAAATAATGATATCTCATCTTCACTTAGTTCATTTCGTTTCCGTTTGTATTTCTAGGACTTCATACATTCAAAATTGTATTTTAATTACCAGATGTATATTCAGCTTTGTCAGCCTCCAAGACATTTGCTTTTATAGCCAGTTCAAATATCCAGTTTAAAGCTCCTGGGATCTTCTATGACATGTAATTTTCTAAATCTAAGAATTCTCAGATTGTGTAGGTATCAAGATGTATTTTAGTGCATTTAAGTACTTTTTTATTAATGGGATTTTCATCCATGAAAAAACTACTGCTTGCCAGTGCACTTTCAGTTGCACAAAGTCTAGCTTTGTCTTGTCTTAATGCTGCTTTTCTCCTTGTAGCTTCGAGAAACAGATGCTAACTTGGGGAAAAGCTCCAGGGTTCTGACGGGGATGTTGCGAAGGTAAGAGCAAGGTAGGGACCTATCTTCCTCTCTCTCCCTTTTTTGAAACTGTGTTTTTCATCTAGTTGCAACTGGGCATTTCCAGGCATGTGAGCCTCTGCTCTTAGTACCCTGTGTCAAGACCCTTTTGAAATGACAGAGTGCTGATATTAACTCTTGTTTGGACAGGGACACATACTGAGTAACTTAGATTAGAGAGAAGGTTTGAGCTAGGGGGGTTACCTCAAGCTATGGAAAAAATTAGGGTTAGACATGAAGTACTTTTTCATAGCCTGAGGAAGTCCCCATGGCAGGAGCAGACTGATTTTATTTTCTATTTCGATAGCCTCCTTCCCATAGAAGGAATGCAGGCCTGCCGCTATCAGGATCACACTCGGTACCTTTGCTCTCTCCCTGTTGCTTTGTTTTTGTTTCTTTTTTTAAGAAACGCTGTTTGGGGAAATATTTCGATTTTATGTATACTTAAAGATGATTTTTACACTTTAAAGATTATCTGAATAATATGAATTCACGTGTGCGAGCGAACGGATGTTAATGTTTTATACGTGTAACTAACCTTTGACTGATGGAAAACATTCAGGAGAGTATGAGAAAATAAATTAATGAATGTGGGTAATATTCTATGTTTTGGGGGAGGGAAGTGAGAAATGTTTTCATTGTTTGGAAAGTCATAGCCATTTTTTACTTAAGTATATTTAGCATGACATTATCTTATATTTGGAATCTACCAAACACGGTTATCATCTAGCATAGCCTTCAGTTTGGAACTGTAGCTAGTAGTGTGAATGAGAAATGTTGAGAACTGCTCTAGAATAGCTTAATTGGAATTTTGAAGAAGTCCTTTAGCATTGATACTATAGAGACAACTATTTTAGAGAAAGGAAAGTCTTTTCTGAGCGTGTATCTTTATATAAGATTTCGCCAGAAGTGTGTTTGCTGTGTTCATGATGGACGGCACAAGACCCAGTCAAGGGTATTGTTGCTTGGTTTCCATCAGGCTGATAGGTCACAAGTCCGAAGTTCCTGGGACACTCCAAACCAACATTGACCTAACTCCACAGACCCCTGATTTTCCTGCAGGCCCAGTTCTAATTCAGAACCATAAGCCACCGAATCCTCTGCTTAAGAGTAATATGTAAATGACCTAGAAAAACTCAAAACCCACAGAGAAGTGGCAATTGAAAGGAAGGGTTCAGTGCCTATAGACAATAAAAAAGAAAAAAAAAAAGAAAAAAGTCCTCTATTTCTTCCCTGGGAGGGCTCCTGCGATGTGAGCTGTAACGAATATTCTGCATATGTCTCCATTTTGTCAAATCTCATTAAAGAGTCCTCCTGCTTTATGTCAATTGAGCTGTCCAGAAATCATTCATCATTTTTAGTGTAAAAAAAATCATGCAGTTATTTAAATAATATCATATTAATGTTAAAGTTCAGCTGTCATTTAATGGTATGGCTTAATCAGATGTAGCATTCAGGAAAAATAGTTTCTTCGGGCTCTACGTGGCTTTCAGGTTGGCAGATTCAAATAAGGATTTATGAGTTTCTGAACCAATGTATTTCTGTCCATGTTTCTGCTTGATGTACCTCACCCTTTTGTGCAGGACACTGCAGACAGTTATTTCAACAAATAAAGCATCTCCTCATATTGTGTTTGAATAAATTTGCAAGTCATTTAGAGAGGGCGAAGTACAGACACTCTGCAACCTTTGACTAGGCTTTCTGTAGGGCAATCATGCTAACGCGCCTGTTTCATAAGACGGAAATTACTCCGCCGAAATCCACTCGGGGTCCTCTGTGTAGGCGAACTCAGTCTATCACTGACTCATCTCCTTTTGGGATCTGTCTAGAGTATGAATAGAAATAAGAATCTTCAGATGGACATCACCTTGCTATGATGAACCGAGGAGACTCTGAGGCCCTCCTGTGCATATCAGTGATTGTGTTTTTTACAAGATTCAACTAGGATCTTGTAAAAACTAGTCGATCTTGGCTGATCAACTAGTATCAGCCAAGATATCCAGATACTCTTACTGCTGGGCCCTCACTGAGTCTCTGGGGAACCAAATGCAGATGGCGGTTGTCTTTGGTTCCTAATTACTATCCCAGACGGTATACAATGTATTTTGGACTTGGGGAAAGGCAGAAATATTTTATCAACTTCTTCACTTCATTGTTTTTATTATTCCCTGGAAAAATAGTCTCTAGAGAAATGGGACCAACGTTTATATCCCAAAGTCTTTTATTGGCTTCTCTGGTTTGGTTTCTTCTGCTACATCCTCTCCCATCCACACACAATTCCCTTCCGGCACTGGTGAGATTTTATTTCAGGAAGAGAAATCACATTCTCTTACTAAAACTGCATTGCGATGTCGTGCGTCAACCATTGCTTCTGATTTAAGTTGTAATACTGAACCACGCGCCTGTCTGTCTCCTCCACACATGTGTAAAGGGGATGAACGTGCTCCTCGTGCAGCATCCGCGTTCACCTCCGTATACCACAAGCTTATATATTTGCATGTGATAAATTGTGTACGACCAAGAATATTCTATGGATACACTAAACCAGGGAATTAATTTATTTAAAGGAAAGCTTGCTGATTATTTTTAATTTTTTTTAATTAGGTTGTTTTTAATGCTGTATATGGAATGGAAACATCATGCCATGGCCCCTCATTTGGGTCATTTTATTTGTTTTGATTAGTCTGTAGTGAAGACAGGTGAGACTGATGTTTCATCAGTTTCAAAGTCTGTATATAAACCCACCTGGTTATCTGCAAGACTGACCAAAGGCAGATAGGGAAATAAAAACGAGCAAGTGGCAGCCGCCACCATTCATGCTTTTTGTTTTATTACCATCACTTGAGGGTAAAAAAAAAATATACATATATATATGCATATATATATTTCCTTCTTTTCTGTCTCCCTTTCTTCTTTCCTTCCTTTCTTTCTTTTTTCTGCTTATTCACTTCCTCAGTAAATTCACCACCTGGATACAAAGGCTTGGGGAATCCTTAGACAAAATCAATTTGATCCTTGCCTTTAGTCCTTCTGAAGAATATGTGCTTATAAAGTACTGTGGGAATTCCTAAAGCTACCTCCTTCTCAAGGAAACTATGGAGGATTCCTTAACTCCAGCGAATGCTTACTGGTCATTAAAAAGGGTGCCAGGAAAACAAATAACCAATAGAAAATATCATGTAAGTAGCTATAAAACCAGTACGTTTCAAAAGTTTAGAAAGGTAGGAGATTTATAGAATCATAAACAGGCTTTGAAAGGAACTAACCAGGCAAAAAACACTGAGGCATAACTAGTTTAGTGAAGTAGCAGCTGATTCAACTAAAATAAGTAAATAAATCGTTCTTCCTGTAATTTTACTATGTTACCAAAAGGGAGAAAGCCAAGGAGAAAATTGGTCCATTCAAAATTATAACAGTGAAACTTGACATCAGAACACAGATATGGCTGATTTCCTGGAAAGTAATTTTTCTTCTGTCTTGACAGAAGATGGAGAGCTAGCAAGGGACAAACTGCTCATTTCCTGACTCTATAGACAGAGTTTTAAATAAAGTGCTATTCAGATAATAACGAAAATGGTCATGAAACAAATGGCCATTCGTGTGGTGACTGGAGCCGAAGAAATGAATTTTTCATTGACTCTCACACAATGTGATTATTGCAACATGGGTTGTCTTAAGGTGTCACAAATAACACTGAGAGGCTTACATGAAGAGCACTTCATAAATTTGCATGTATCTGCACATTTGTGTGTGTATTATTTCCTGTACATTTGGCTAGGAAGTCAAAGAGCAAACAGAGTGGGCGATCAGTGAAAATAAAAATATATGTTTTTGAGATCTGCAGTCAGAAACCAAAAGACGTCATGATTCTTTTTTTTTTCTTACCTCTGAAGAGTGAACAATTCATCAGTAATAGTATATTTGTTTCTAAAAGTATCTTGAGAATACAACACTTATAATTTGAGATCTCCTTTGACATAAATTTGGAAGACACGTTACAAATTTCTGTTGGCTGGCAAAAGGCTTACAAAAAGAAATGGCATATGTAATATTTTTTAAACATCTTTTTCCATATGATTACCTTAATACCAAATAATTCCCTCACTCTCACACACTACCTGTGTTTGCCCCTACCATTCTAATGTTTTTTTTTTAATTTTTGAATTTAAAACATAAAAAGAATGTTTCCTTCAAACAGTGAATTCTTGCTTATTCTTCTAGAAGGCATGTAGTAACTTGTTAAAGTATGTAGCTGCTGATGAGAGGCCTTTTGTAAATAATCTATAAGATACACGAACCCCGTAGAATTAAATGCTGTTGGCCTAGCCAGCACTATTCATGTGTCATTATTTAATACATGAATTTTTTGTTAGAACTACTTTGGAGCCAGTCTGAGGAGTATTGTCACCTACTATTGCTGTCACAGTTCCATTTTAAACATGATTTTGTTGCTTTGGTAGAATGACAGGTAAAACACCTGGAAAACTTAAATGTACTGTCAAAATGATCCGTAAGGGTTAAGTCTACCAGAAATACCAACGCAAGATGTGTAAAAAAAATACATTTTTTAGTAAACAAAGTTATTCTTAAAGAAATATGCTACCATTAGGCATTTTTTAATCTTCCTTAAAAATTCATGTTCCCCTCCTCCCTCATTTTACTCAGGAAATATTTTGTTGTGTTTTAATTGTTCTTTTACAATGTCTTAAAATTCAACAGTAGAGAGTTTTCAGGACTAGTAGGAAAGATGTCCTTGAGAATTTACTTAATTTTTCTGCTCTGAAAAGTGTGTCTTCCCTTGAAGTATCTTTCACTTTGCTTGGTTTTTTTTTTTTCTTTTTTTTAATTTTATCCCAGTTATTAGCCTTTCTTGGCCTGTTTTTCCTAGTGTTGAACACAGGCCCTGACCTGAAATTAGTATAGCGATATTCTAGCCTCTAAGATATTCTTCAGCTTTTAATCAAGTGCTTATTTCAAGAATA